AAGCATAAGTGCAGTGAAGCTCCAGTACCTCGAAGTCGCTTAAGTCGACTACATTCCTTATCTCGAACTACGGATAAATCGATGTTTATCCAAGATCATGAGATTCCGTGTAGTCACTGTGGTTAAAGGTGTGTGTGTGTTGGGGGTGGGGGTGGGGGTGGCGGGGGTCCGCTTTACAGGAAACTCGTCAGGGTCACGGAGTTGGAGATGACGGATTCCAATCGTTCAGAGTGTAAAACTGTCGATTTCACTTCACTCATGTACTTGATAAGTGTTGGGTTTGACGAGATGAGTCTGATTACTAGTATTCCCATCTTGTATATGAACCATTGTTCTCAGTATGGTGGAAATTTCGAAAAGGGCGTGTGGCTGAATCGTCAATATAAGTCGTAATGCATCACCCTTGAGGTTAAATAGATAGGGAAATGGGACTTGTATAAAAAGGTCGTAAAAGCGAAAATACACAATCGTACAAATAAATTGGACGTTGAACTTTTTGTATGATTGATGGTCAAACAATTCGCCGAGATAAGTGACTGGTAATTGTTAATCTTTCTGTTTTTAACATTTTCAGAAAATGCGTTAAAAGGTTTTAAATTGCCATCGTTAATGCATGTTATGTTACTAATAAATGTCGAATTCGATAGCCGGGACATACGATGAACCGACTTCACTGTGTTTATCTATGATATTACTAATACACACAGTGATAATCTCGCTCTCGTGTTGTCTTAAGACAGCGAGCTATTTCCTCTGTTTCTCATAGTCTTTAGAGGGGCGGTGGGATAGCTTCGTGGTTCAAGCGTTCGCCCGTCACGCCGAAGATCCTGGTTCGAGTCCCCACGTGGGTACAATGTGTGAAGCCCATTTCTGGTGTCCCCCGCCGTGATATTGCTGGAATATTGCTAAAACTAAACTCAACTCACTTAATGATTTTACAGCAATGAGGAACCCATACGCAGGGACAAGCGACAAATAATTGTTGGTTTCAATTAGAAAACAGGAATTTAAATTGAATTCACTAAGCGCAAAAATATCCTGACGTACAAAATATTTAACCATTGAAGATCCGGGTTTGAGAAACCCACGATTGTCCTCAGAGGCGACTGACGGGATCGAGTGGTCAGGCTCGCTGACTTGGTTGACACATGTCATCGTATCCTAGTTGCGTAGACCGATACTCATGATGTTGGTCACTGGATTGACTGGTCCAGACTCGATTATTTACTTTCTACTGCTAGAATATTGCTGAGAGCGGCGTTAAACAACAAACAAACACAACAAAGACTCACGTGATGCTTTGGAATTATTTTCCAAAAAGAACAACGTAAATATTTTGAAAACTATTTTGAAGAAATAGAATGGAAGCAAATAGTATACACCGCAAGTTGAACTGAACATCAAAGATATTGTTTGAATCAAAAACAATGTCAGTTATCGCACATGCTCAATAAATAAATTTGGTTTGTGGCGGGAAATCGGGAAGCCTGGTCGTGGCGTAAATCGGGAAGCCTGGTCGTGTGGCGTAAATCGGGAAGCCTGGCCTTGTGGCGTAAATCGGGTAGCCTGGACTTGTGGCGTAAATCGGGAAGCCTGGCCTTGTGGCGTAAATCGGGTAGCCTGGACTTGTGGCGTAAATCGTAAATCGAAGGTTTAAAGGTCACATGCAACGTAAAACACAACTTTGCAGATTCTGATACCTTTCGGTATGGACTTACCGAAACAAATCGTCAAAAATGCAAATTCAACTTATAAAGTTGAAAAATAACGCGATGAAAAAACCGCGCGAAATCGGAGTTCAAACGTTTCACTAATTTTCCCCAGACTTTTCTGGGGAATACGGGTTTCAACAGCTGGGCTGCGCTCATAGCACGTGCGCAGTGAAATAGGTTCGCGCAACTTGGAAGCGGGCTGTCTGGTGAATACTCGGTGAAGGCTTTGGTGTGAGCTATTTTCATAATGTTTTGTTGATATCTCACAGGCGCGAGCTTTTTGTATGTTATGACAGTAAATAAACTGTTTATATAATTTCATTTGTCTATTTCACCACACGTTCTTCTTACCGAGTCACTTTCAGTTCGATACTTAAAAGCAATGTCATTATTTAGAGTTGACACAATTTCTAACTGTGATATAGATATGTCGCTGTCACAGACAAACTCAATGTCTTGTTTTATTGACACCTGTGTGTCTGCCTGCCTGTCTGCTAATGACAATATTCAATACACAACTGCGATCACTGACCACATGCAATTTGAACTTAACACCAATCAGGCTATACACCATAAACAAAACGCATTGATTTATGGCCCGAGTTCGGTCTCTGTCACATTATGTAATTACACAGACAGGCAGGTGTGATACTTGAACACATGACATGTTATGATGTCTGTTGATTGCAAAATGTTATACACAAAAAATGAGCATGTATTTACAAAACCCAACTTTCTATATATACACACACAATGAGCGGCATCTGCTAATGAACCAGCCGTTACACTTGAGTGCACACCCACCCGCTCTGACTGGGTTCGGTATCCCGGCTGCTTCGTTTCGAGGGAGGTAAACCCAAGCACAAAATATTGCACTTTTGATTTGCGATTATACGCTTATAATTTTGTTTATTTGTTTTTTCATAATCAGCAATGCATATTATATGTCATGAAGAAGTGATAATTGTGTTTTAATTATGTTTGATTTTTTGGTTGCATGTGACCTTTAAGTATTCTGGTGTCCTCCGCTGTGGTATTGCTGGAATATTGCTAAAACTAAACTCAACTCACTTAATGATTTTACAGCAATGAGGAACCCAACAGCGGCGTAAAATCATACTCACTCATTCACTCACTCGAACGTTGACTAGGCTGCCTGTTTCAGGCCTACTTATTAAGGCTAGATGACATTATTGCATGAAATCGTAAACCTCTGTGACTGCGTCTGTTTTTCTGGTGATACTTAAGACAATTTATGTAGTGTTTACACTCCCAATTACTGCGTAAACTCATTTCCTTATAGATGAGGGGATCATATTTCCAGAATATCAACACAATCGGCACCTGCTCGCCAACCGACGTTTGTCCAATTTCACGTATATATCTCACTTGTCTCGTGTACGTTGATATAAGTCTACTGTAGCAGCATGTTCGGCGGTGCTAATGGAGAACCATGTGGTTTATTTGATTGAGTCCAACTAGCATCCATAACATATTTTCCGTGTGGCAATTGCGAGTCTAAATCTGGTTTTGGTGAAAGACATGTTTATCGTCAACTAATTAATCCCGATAACGCGGTTACTATCAGAAGATTTGTGTTACATTAATGCAGTAAATTGATAACAGATGTTGCTGCAACGTAATCTGTTTCATTAAAACAGATCATGTGTATGCTTGGTCAAGGCTGGTAACTCTAGGCTAGGGCAACCCCGCCCATGTGTTCATTGGTCACTCATCGGATCCTATGTTAGGGTGTTGAAACGCTTCAGCGAAGCAATTGAGTGAATGTTGGTGGGTGTCACAATTAGTAATATCCCGACTGTGGGTTGAGAAACCAGTTACTGATAACAACTATCTCTGTTATTGGGACTGCCGCCACGACTGCCGTGCGTCTGATCCCAACTTTTGTACAATCAGATGTGATCCCAATATTACGACTACCGTACGTGATCCCAGCACTACGACAGCCGTACGTCTGATCCCAACTTTTGTACAATCAGATGTGATCCTAATATTACGACTACCGTACGTGATCCCAGTGCTACGACTGCCGTATGTCTGATCTCAGCATTTATAAAATCAGATGTGATCTCAATATTACGACTACCGTAAGTGATCCCAGCACTACGACTGCCGTATGTCTGATCTCAGCATTTATACAATCAGATGTGATCTCAATATTACGACTACAGTGTGTGATCCCAGTGCTACGACTGCCGTATGTCTGATCTCAGCATTTATAAAATCAGATGTGATCTCAATATTACGACTACCGTAAGTGATCCCAGCACTACGACTGCCGTATGTCTGATCTCAGCATTTATACAATCAGATGTGATCTCAATATTACGACTACAGTGTGTGATCCCAGCACTACGACTGCCGTATGTCTGATCTCAGCATTTATACAATCAGATGTGATCTCAATATTACGACTACAGTGTGTGATCCCAGCACTGCGACTGTCGTATGTCTGATCCCAGCTTTACGACAATCGGATATGATGTCAGTGTTACAATTACCGTATGTCGTCCCATTACTCCGACAATGTCGAAGTACTACATGTGCAGTCTGTTACAAGAGAAAACGGGAAACAATGTTCAATATCAGGCATAGAATGTCAGAACTAATTGTATGAAGGACTGCCCTTACAGTCCTTGAGTTAGTGAGTGAGTGAGCGATTGTTTAATCATCCGTAACATTATGATCCAACCGTAACAACCTGACTGGGTGATCATATTGTGATACTATTTAATCTCCTAGATTCACACATTCAAGAAACCAGAAAAGTTGCATTAGCAGTTCGGGTTTCATCTGAACATCTGGTGTCAATGTTATCGAATGTATTCACGTTAGATTCGATATCATTGTCTGGTTTCAGGTAATGTTACCACAGATGCAGTATACCACAATGGTTTAAAATACTCTGTTCTGACAACTAAATATACCTAAAAAAGAAAGAAAACAAAATAGGAGGGTAGATAATTCTAATATTCAAAATGAAAACAAGTAGAACAGAATGAACCTCCAAACGAGTTATTTAATGAATGATAGAACGAAGAAAATTGTAACGAATGAACCATAAATATATAAATAAATAAATAAATAAATGAACGAATAAATATATAAAAAAATGAATAAATAAATAAATACAACTGTAAACAAACAAACAAATAAACAGATAAATAAATGAATAAATAAATTAATAATGTTTCTGCCTTAGAGTCGGTCGGTGATGATAAACAAGACGTATTATATGAGTGGCCTCATCTGACGGCGGGCACTGACCTCAAGATGACATGGCGTCCTTCGATCCCAGAAACCTCCGAGAGGCAGCTGTTTTCGATCTCCATACAGCCACCGCAATATGACTACATCTAACAGGCTTAAGTTATTTATTATACTTCAGCTTTTTGCATGACCAGGCTACATTCTTGTGACAGGTGCGTACACGTACAGCTATAGCTTTATACCTGTGTTCCCATGTGTTCACGTACATATACACGGCTAGTCAGATCATGGAGGGTCATTGATTGGAACATGTTCTAAAAACTAAATGCAAGGTTCCAGGTAACAGAGAAATGCAACTTTTTAAAGAGACCCTGCGACAAGTATATATCATAGAGCCCATGCAGGTCAATAGTTGGCGTGTCTAGACGACAGCAGGTCTGAAATCAAGTCCCTGAGCTTCCAATTTTATTACATTCCATAAAGACAATAAAACAACTGTTTTTTTTGTCGTAAATATTTTTATTTCCGAGGATAGATGGTTGTCTGTATGTAGGCGTGTGTTCATGGGGTTACTTTTTATGACATGCCCTTGTAATCACGGGGACATAGTTACGCCATTGCTAGAGGATGCGACGACTCGTTAATACGGCTCCTTAATTCCGGCCCTGTCAGTCGAGAACCCCGTTATTCGAGAACCCCGTCAATCGAGAACTTGATGTGGTTGATGTATGTCATCGTGTCCCAATTGGGTAGTTTGATGCTCATGTCGATCACAGGATTGTCTGGTCCAGACTCGGTTGTTTACTGATGGCTGAATATTGATGAGTTTACGAACAACACCTGAAAATATGTTCCAAAAGAATGCTATCAGTTCGCAATATGACCATGTACACTTAGAGCTGTTCACAAAGGGTTTCATGGGTAGAAACAGTGGAAATCAGAGACCATATAATAGATTATATATGGTCTCTGTTGAAATATAGTCCTTTTGATATCCATCAATACACGAGTCACGCTAATTTTTCACTTGTAATCAGGCACACAAGTTGAGTTGGGATGAGTAATTGTTCATAGTGGCATAAAGACAGGGGTGTTTTTCAACATGTAGGGCTGACATTATGCCCCTTGTTTTGAACTAGAACTCAACAGAAGCCTTCACGGGTCAGTCCAACGTTTCATGCATTGCCTGGTCGGAAATAACAACACTTCAACAATACCGTGCCTTCCGGTATCTAAAGTCTACCTCCGTTAGATCCACACATTATGCATTATTTATAGACATTTAATCTTTTTTCGGTCTCCCTTTCCTGCGTCTATAACACGAAATGCAAACGGACATCCGAGAGAGCGCGTCTCGACAGGAAAGTGCACTGTGATATCACACCAGCCGATCTCATCGTATTTGGGGAACGCTCAATCAGGGGAGGTAATTATGTCCTTCTTCCGCCATCTTGACCCGGTCACGTGACCTTACACCACCACACCACCCCTTTGTGTAGCGTCCAGTTTGTGAGCGTAACTCATGTCTAGTACTAGTATTTCATTTGGTCGGAGTTGTGAGTGAATCATCGCAATTCAACAGACTGTGAATCATAAGAATGTCTAAACGCTCATGTCTAGACATTTAAACGGTTTTATGTTCTATCTGCGATCTGATTTGTGGATATTTGTGGGAAAATATATAAAATTTGACTCATAGCTCTGTTGTTGAACGTATAACATAGTAATCAGTGTTTAGCGTGGACGTTTGTCTATTTTCTGAAGAATATGATAGCTCCAAGAGACTTCTAACACCCCTGTGTGCATGTAGATGGTTTTTCTAAATTGTGGAACAGGCCTGGTTCGTTTTCCACCACGTCTAGTGAAATAAGGTCATATGTGTTTTAATCAGAAAAATGTATGTTGTGATGTTGTTACTTATCACAGAACAGTACACACCGCATCTTTTCAGTTTCAATAATCGTTAACCGTTATGTCTTCAACGTGCACGTGGAATGATGTCAATAGAACATACGCACGTGCATATCAGTTGATAGAGCTGATTGGGGTTTTTTTCGGTGAAAAACACCCAAACAGACTTGTAATTCATTATCATCCTTCTTGTCAAATTTTGTTTCAACTTTCGGGTTATGTTTTCAAGCTCTGTAATTATTCATCAACCAACGATAATAAATCACCAGGCGTTGATAGTTATCTTCATGTAGTTGCGGGGTTTTATTGTGGCATCTACGTTAAAGCTGTGAGAAACGAGACCCAGCACTTGAAGTAATACGTGTAACGTTATGGCAACGCCGCCAGGAGCTGCACAATTAACGCTGGAACTGGACCGTACCCTGTTTCCGTTACCATCCGGGATCTTGTGTGAATTACAGACAACGCCATGGTGTCGCTAGTATAAGTGTGAGAGCTGGTCTGACTCGTGTGTGTGTGTGCGTGCGCGCGTGCGTGCGTGCGTGTGTGTCTCTTTCCGTGTCTGTCTGTCTCTCTTTCCGTCTCACTCCCTCTCTCTCTCATTCTCTCTCTCTCTCCCTCTGAGTGAGTGTGTATCAAGCTCGGTCACCGTTTACAAAATCAATCACTGGATTGTCTGGTCCCGACTTGAGATTTGAAGAATATTACTTGCAACACAAAATACTTGTAACACTGTCTCCCAGACTCTAGAGGTTAGATTTAAAGTAACCAGACTCCGTTGTTGAATAGTAAGGCAAGTCTAGACTGCCTCACCTCTGATACTGAAAAATGTTCTAGGCTACCTTTGGACTTTATGTTATTTGTTTGTGGATATATTAAAAAAAATATAAGATTATAGTATTATAGAGATTTAATGACAGTCTGTGAGAACAGGCTCTGGCCAACTAGACCCTTGCCAAGTGTTTCAAAGTGTTGTACTTTTATCGACAGCCATTTTCCGACAGTTTTACTTTTTCGTCATATCACAGCATTCGGATCATTGATGTTATCATGGTTTGTTTAAAAGTGATAAAAATGTCCCCCACACCTGGTATCATCGCATATATCAGTCATGTTTTCATATGATGTTCACCTTTGCTTTGACTTCAGCGCCCATTTAATCTGTTCCTTTGGATATTCTCTGGTAATTCTCAGACTTCCACGTTGTACAGTACTAGTAATTGTTTTAGGATAGGCTTGGAAACAGTGTCTCTTGGCTACAGAGCAGACCTCAGAATATTGTGTCGCAGAATTGTTCTCAGTATGTTCTTTCTCCGAAACACGTTCATTTTCACGTATCTAGCAAATAACTGTACCTCAGGAGCACAACTTGTACCTTTCTAACATTCAGAAATGCCAATTACCTGTCATAGTAATGATTTCGTTAAATCGTAAATTAAATGAATGAAAATTTCACTCACAATTTTCACAATTTTCTAACAGCCTAATTATTTCAATCACTTTAGAAATTGACCGAACAATCTGTCTATATACATGTATTATGAAATCAAACACCAAACATGTCTATGTCCATGAATTCATCTAAAAGTGACTGAAAATGATCGCATTAGAAGAAAACATAATGCAATGCAATATTTAGTTATAATATGTTTTTGGCTTCCCAGCGTAATTAGTCTATGTGATGTTTTAAACCGTTTTGAAAGGTTACGTATCGCTTACTATAAATTTATGTTTCTAAAAAGTAATTTTTCGAAAACGCGTATGAATTAATATCCTGACAAAACATATTTGAATTTGTTTACCATGTAACTTGATCGTTGAAATACAATAACTAAAATCAATGATTACATAGAGTGTTTTGTTTTCGTTTATCTTTCTATAGTTTATTGAGCGTCCCCCTCTGCTTCTATAGGGCATTATTCTTTTATGTGTTTCACGTAGCCACCAAATTCTGAACATGGGTCGGTCGGTCGGGAAAAACACCCCAAAAGCAACTTAATAAAGACAATATTATCTGAATAATGATTCTCATTTATTGTAATTCTTATTACAATTTCTCGCGTTCTTTAAATTTGGACTTATGGCAGCGACTGTTGGAAAGATCACCATTATATATGACGAGGCGGTACGTTTTAGGTTCGAGTCGGCGGGGTTGGAATGAAAATTTAAAAACAGGTTTTTTGTGTGTTTTTTGTTGTTGTTGTTGTTTTTGTTTTGTTTTGTTTTGTTTTTTTGGGGTGGTGGGGGCGGGGCGGGGCTGGTGGTGGTGGTGGTGGTGGGTGTTTGTCGGCAATACAATAAGAAGGGTCGGTCGGGCGATGAGAAACACGGAAAATAAAAATGCTGCCCTTATTAACATTCACTTGTGTCCTTCTAGAATACGTAACAGTTTTACCATTATTTCCATGTCAGGTCACCCGCATATAAGGTTAACGAAACTACCACAGAGCATGTCTGTTAAGCACTTTGCGTGACAAACGTATGACAATATAAGGATATATATTGGGTAGGAGCTTAATACAAATATGTGTTGATTTGGATTTGTATGGATGACAAAAGAAGTTGGTGCTATAAAGTTTTCATGTGAGCATTTGCTGTAATTGCGACATAATTGTGCTCACGAATGACCATCCGGAATTATCAAACGTTTCTCTGAAGAAACGTTGTAACATTCAGCCCTTACTCCAACTCAAGCTATATTATATTCAAATTACACTAACCAGTCGTCATTACGTAGAAGTTTGGCAAAGTTTAGAACAAGATAAAATTATCTTCAAACCTAAAACCAAAGACGCCCTAATGTACAAGATCCCGTGGGTGTATTTTGTGCTGAAGATGAAAATTCAATTTTATTTCACAGATAGAAACATAATGCAATGCAATATTTAGTTATAATATGTTTTTGGCTTCCTAGCGTAATTAGTCTATGTGATGTTTTAAACCGTTTTGAAAGGTTACGTATCGCTTACTATAAATTTATGTTTCTAAAAAGTAATTTTTCGAAAACGCGTATGAATTAATATCCTGACTATACATATTTGAATTTGTTTACCATGTAACTTGATCGTTGAAATACAATAACTAAAATCAATAATTACGTAGAGTGTTTTGTTTTCGTTTATCTTTCTATAGTTTATTGAGCGTCCCCCTCTGCTTCTATAGGGCATTATTCTTTTATGTGTTTCACGTAGCCACCAAATTCTGAACATGGGTCGGTCGATCGGGAAAAACACCCCAAAAGCAACTTAATAAAGACAATATTATCTGAATAATGATTCTCATTTATTGTAATTCCTATTACAATTTCTCGTGTTCTTGGGACTTATGGCAGCGACTGTTGAAAAGATCACCATTATATATGACGAGGCGGTACGTTTTAG